GGTGTCACATACACTTCCGCCTGCCGCCATAGCCGCCTGTTCGCGTGAAACGTACTCTCAGACCGGGAAAACCCGAATTAATTTATCACAATCATCCTTATCATCATCCGGTGCCTTGCCGACTGGCGTGGGCGATCATGGACCACTTCTTAGAAAAGACGGGAACGGAAACAAACCATAAAACATTTTCTTCCATGCCACTCATACTTTCAGCCCCAAGGAGGGACACATATAGCAATCTAAAAGTAAAATATGCAAATGAACATTGGCCTTTAACTTAAAAAGTTTCAGATACACTAACGAACAAAGCAATGAAACTCAATAGTTCTTCACACAAATGATTTTTATTCATTTACAAACTTACTAAAGCAATGTTTCTCCTATTTTCTACTTCATTTCTGACCATACCTTTCATCTCCTATTTAATATCCTCTACAATATAATAACTACTTGTAAGGAAAAAATGTATAAAAATCATGAAAAGAAATTACAAATCAAAATTTTGTGCCTTGATTCCATTGACTGAATATACATTATACTATATTAATGACAGAAAGGAAGTACATATACTGCATTGGAAAAAAATGTAAATTACTTTGTCAATTTTGTTGTACTAGGCAAGAGAGCTGCTCTATATAGGTCCCATAATCACTTACTGAACCTGTGATGGTATTTTTTCAAAATGATGACTGACGAAAATGAAAATGCAATGAAAATAATTTCATGCAATAAAGTTCAGTAACTGAGTAACCATAATAAAATATGTGTGGCATCGTGGTGAAATTAGGTGCTCTTCAAAATGATGAAATCTAAGAAAACAACATGTCTTTCCTCGTTGGGCAATTTTTAGAAATTAAAAAACAATATTTAAAAAAAAAAATTTTTTTAGAGGGGGGGGGGGGGTGCACTTTTACTTATATGTTTACTTAAAAACACATTTCGGTGTGGATTTTACGGTAAATCGTTTATCAAATGTACAAAAAAATTTTAATTTTTGCAATTTCCAAGGACACAGCAGCTTTGGAAATCACCAAAGTTTTGCAGCCATTTATTCACAAAATTTACTTCCCACACCAGGTGACCTCCACCTTCTTCAATGGCAAATATATTGATTCCTAGTCTAGATATATATGGGTATTTTTTAAAATTTTCATCAAAAGCAAGGCAAATGGTATAGGCTATAATTTAGATTGTAAGCCTACCAATAACTCCATTTTCCCAAAGATTGATCAGCACCTGATTCCACCGTGTTGTGACACAAATGTTTTTAACAACTGAAAAGCAATAAAAATGCTGAAAGCAATGTATGTGTATACTTATGAGCAGTGGCACTATTTATTGTTTCTATAATTTAGAAACCTCACAAGAGGAACATATTGATTAGTAAAGCGTATGGCTTTCACAATTTTTTTTGAGCTTCATAAATTTAGATTTTCAAAAACACAAATACTCATCTGTACATCATTCATGGTATTAGTTGGAATAAGTATATATGATATCATGGGTAAATCGTATTTCATCACCGAAACAGAAGAAGCAAAGTTAAAACAGGATGTTGGAAGTAAATTCAATCAACCATACACATGGAGATCAAGGACTAGTACAAGGTAAAAAAAAATTGGTCAAGCCATTATATATTACAGTACTTGGTCAAAGGCAAAGTTTTTGTAAATATCAAACTAATATGTACAACAAAATGGGGTGCTGCACCCAAGGTATGGGGACTGCAGTTAATACTGAGGCAAATGGTTTCACCTGATTTCAAAGAAAATAATATGATGAAAACGACTATGCAACAGAAGCAAAAATTTTAATGGTGTTGCATCAATATATAATATAATATAAAGGTTCAGATTTTATCTTGATAAGATGCGGCTGCAACTTATTAAAAATGCCCTTGAGTACATTCTGAATTGCGAAGGTCATTGTCCAGTAATACTAATACATGTAGTAATAATAGTGAATCCTGAATATTGTCATGTAATATGAAACACTGTGTAACTCTCACAGTCACATATCGTCACTGCGCTAGCGAAATGGCATAAACTCAGTTGTTCTAAACTAGCCATTTTTTTTCTTTTTTGGTGGTATTATATCTATCTTTTGGTAAAGCCAAAACAAATATGCTCTGGAAGTCACGACAGAAAAATGCATGGCAAGTTTTGCAATTATTAGATGATTTTCCATTTATCTCAAAAGTAGCAAAAAATGAGATATTCCATTTTGCTAGCGCAGCGATGATATGCGTACACAATTTTATGTTTTTCCTTCTGGAAATAGGACAGAACCAAAAGTTTCTATAACAATCTTTAATCGCAACAACTGTATTCCAATGTTTGATGTTGTTTTTTCACTTTAACTTCAATATTATGAGTAGCTTTTTAGAAACGAAAACAAAGGAAGACTGTAGATCTCAGATGGAGTATCTACATAATTAATTGTCCTCTGTCCTTGAAAATACCAAACTTCAAAGGATAAGGAAGGAGAAGATCAGAGGGAACAGAAATATTGAGGAATGGACAGAATAAAAAGTCTTCAGCACAGACCAATGTAACATTCTCTTGAGGCCAACCTTAAAATTGCTTGACATTTTATTTAGAGCAAGGCACGGGTAAAAACGATGACACCTTCACGGACTTGATATTCTTTCTAATTTCATGACAGTCAAACATATTCATAAAATCCAAATTTTGAATTGCATAATTTAAAATCCTCCAAACCAAGCCTGAAAAAGCTTCCAAAAGCACACAAGACACTTGATAAAATCACAGGAAACTACTGGGTTCATCACAAAAATTAGCTCCCATGTAAAGCAGAGTAAACATTTTTCTGGACATCCCCACTCCCCATCACAGAAGTTGTCCATTAGAGATGTTTTAAAAAATACCATTACTTCTCTAAAAGAATCTTAATTGCCTATGCGCTTTCGTTGAAAAAACAAGAATACATATGCCGACATGCATAAGATGGATATAAAACTGATGTTTTTAATTGCATGGAAAACTTTTGGTTCATCATTTACATAGAAGTCTACAATTATATAGGCCTACATGTATTCAAGGTTAAAAGCTTATTCTTCCTTCCTTGGTCTAATCTAATGTCGCTGAATTTAATTTCACAACGCTACTTCACAGAAATAGTCATACTGTGTGCATTGTGCACTACTGAAACAGGAAGCAGTAGGGGAAAGGTTAATACCAAAATGAGGGGAAAAAAATGGAAGGCTCAAATGTGACACTGAGGCCTGTGGCAGCCAAAGAAATGGGAGATTTATTTACAGACAACGGCATGAAATATAGGCAATGAGATTCATTGAGGATGATGATGATGATGGTGGGGATGATGATGATGACGGTGATCTTAATAAGTTAAGGCACAGATCAGACAAGGCCACATATTATAACAATTCTGTCTTGGACAATCATTCACATCTGCTGTACAAAACATTATCAATGTTGTTAGTGTCTCTAACATGAACTATCTGACATTATCTTCTCCTGTTACACATAAGGTGACAAACAAGAAATAACAAAAATGTGACAAGATGAGTATTGTGTTCAAGCTTTAATTATGATACAAATTCAATATTCTCTGTGTCTGTATATTCACAAAGTTTTCACAAAGGGGTACTCGCTGGCTTGTGGTAAATTAGTGAGCTCAACCTAAATTTATAATATCAAACGTTTGTCTTTGAGACATCGTTTTGGTGTGTGATCACTGGAGTGTGTCCTTGAGCAAGACACAATATCCGTAACTCAAAATCAGGGCGCTGCACAGTGGCGACCAGCAATAGCGTGTTTACAGTTTATAATAGTGTGAAATTGTGGATTGAGTAACATTGATGTATTATAATTTTATGTAGGACCTATTTATGTATGTGTGAACGCAATTGTAAACCAAATCTCCCTACGGAGTTGAATAAGAGTTTAATTTATTCATTTTATTTTTATCTTTATTTTCCGTTGACTTTACGGGAGAGGAAAAACAAAAGCGTATGCAAAATTTGAGAAAGTATGTTTCTTTTTAGAGCATTAGTCAGAGAAATAATTGTGAATGTACATGCAGATCTGGCTATTTCCATAATTTTTGTGTTGTTTTTGTTGTTGTTGTTATTGCTGCTGTTGTTGTTGCTGCTGTTGTTATTATAGTCACTGTTGTTGTTGCTAATGAAGATGATGATGATGACGACGATGGAGACAAGGATGATGGTGATGCAGCTGCTGTTGACCCTGCAACATATCCAAAATGTATATATGTATGTATATATATA